AAGTTCATTATCATTGCTGGTCCGTGCCGTTCTATTTGCGTATATCGCGTTGCACGCTGATACGCGCGGTATGCAGAATCGTACACGAAATATAACTGGGCAAAATTTAACTACTACACTTTAGAGGCGTCCGATAAAGGATACGATATGTTGTTTCCCCCGATATCTTTCCTCTACTAGAATCACGTTCCTTCGCGATACAACCTCGTGTATTCTCGTTACAAGAACGAATCGTTATATACATATTAATTGCATTAATACGCGGATTCAAGTGCACCTGATTACACGGCGATATCCACGAGAGCATTAACAGTCCGTTTAACGAAGCCCTTGCCAATCTGATGACGCAATTGGACGCGACGGAAGGAATATTCATGCGTCGTTCATCGTGTTGACATTTGATTATCCAGAATGGAGGTGACGTTGACGTTAGATTGCACAGAATGGAGCCTAGCGGTAAACTCCAGAAGTTGACGAAGGAAAGTACGTTATGTGCGTTTTATACGCGGAAGAAGTGACAGCTTCTTTTTGCGTAAAGATTTATAACTCTGGAAGTTTCATGTAATTTAGAGCTATACGCGAATATATATGTATATGATGCATAAAAGATAAGAAAATGATTATACAGAAATAGTAGGATCTATATTTTTCGCACCAACAAAATATCATATTTGATTCTCATACAATATTTGCAATAAGAGTGCTATCGGTTTTTCAAAATAAACTCTTACATATGTATTTTTTCAATGCGTATTTTTATATATGTGTATATAAAAATATATACACATATATACAATAATACCTGGGAAAGAATTATATGGCAGAAAAATAATTTATTCAAGTAAAATACAAAATAGCGATCTGTCAAAAGTTTTTTCTGACATGCTAATCTGATGCATAAAAATATTTCACGGCTAAATGGAGCAAATTTGTTAACACAATGCGAACCGCGTTCAATATTCCGGAGACTACTACCATGACATTCTATACAGAACAGCTTCGAAGATGTGTAACTGCTTTACGCGAAGCGCGACGAGACGGTCTCTCATATCCCGAAGGAAATCTCGCAGTTAGTAGTATTATAACAAGAAACTGAAATAGCAATTCGTTAAAAGTTTACAAAACAATTGCATTCGTGGTAGCAAATCGTGGTGGTGTGATAAAAACTTTTGAAGCCAAGCCTCATAAAAAGTAGGTACGCCAAAATGTACGGCCATAATTTGAAGAGATTTTTTTTCAACATTAAAGCTTGTTTAAAAAATTAACACGTAACTGTCTAAATAGCTATCGTAAAATAGCTAAGCAGAAAATATATCAGTAATTTTACGCAAAACAAATCACAAGCATACCATTTGCAAAATATAATTCACATATAATACAACTAAATTAATAATAATTATCAATTATCTTTGACGGTTTATACGAACGCAATCCCGAATGACGGTGGCTTGTCGCTGCGATCTCGGTTTAACAAAACTCGATCGAGTTTGATATTCGCGCTGCATTCTTTTAGATCGTCAGTGTCACGAATTTATGCAGATTGTACATATACGTAATCAATAATTAGCGTACAAAGGGAAAGGGGGGGAGGGGGTCACATTACGGCTATACACACATATAACGCAAGTCGGCGCATGCATTACCATAATCTTGAAGGTGGCTCTATTACGCCGCTTATTGCGAATAATCGCGTTAACTGCGCCACTGCGTTGCTGCAGCTAGCGCTACTGCTGCTGCTGCTGCTGCTGCTGTTACAGCGGCTCTCTGTTATCACTTCCCGACATTTCCCAGCCGCGCATAGTCGCCGTTAATCTTGCCGAGCGAGCTCTCGGGAAATTGCAAAATTGCCGTGCGTTCGATCGTCCCGATAAATGCGCGGTTATTGCGATCTTAATGAACGTGAATTCCACACGAGTCCATCTCGATAACAAACTTAGCGCAAATAGATATACGGGAAGGCGACTAGATTTTAGAGCAAGAAATAATGGCAGATTATTAATATACTGAAGATAGATAAGCAAGAAGTAACTAGAAATATACGTAAATCGCAACAGACATGCATAAATAAATCTGAAATACAACCCTTGAAAGGCTTTTGTCCTCTCTCGTTGTATTTTTCGTCAATTAAAGAGAAAAATTTGTTCATTTATATTCTTAAGTCATTTGTATATCCTTTTTGCCAGTTTTATGTTACATGTATTATTATAACTTGCTTACGTATATAAATAAACACGCAAATACAAATTTAAACAATACCCGTTATTTGCATCTCGTTTCTTGTCACGAAACAATGTGGAATTCATTAGTTGTTACAGATAAATAAGCCAAGCTTTTGTAAAACGATATGTATACGATACATTTCACGGAAAAATAATCAACACTAAATATTCGTTTCATATCTCCGTTTCATAATTAACGAGATATGCGTACGCTTTGAAATACGATATACTCTAATATTCATACGGATATTTCATTTCGCATTTTTAAAGTCTCGCGGATTTTGCCGGATAACGTAATATCTTTTCATCAAAAGCGGCATATTGCAACGAACAATAGAAAGAAAATATAGCCAGTTGGAAATTTCTAATTCATAATTAATAAGCTGTCACACGCAAAAAACGCGATGCATTGCAATATTCATATAAGCATCTCGTTTCGCATTTTTTGGATAATGTAAATTTTTGGAAAATTGGAACGGACGACGTATTTCACGGGAAAAACGGCGGATTATATCTCCGTTGCAATAAAAAAAAGTACGAACGAGTTTTGAAAGATATTTTATATGTGCTAAAAAATTATTTGTTTGACAGCATTTTTATTACGTTAAATATAACATATTACGTATTACTACAATTTTCATTTTGTAAAATTCAATACAAATCGCTGCTTCTACCTTTTACATGTTTTTTCATTAAAACGCAACATCTGCGTCACGTAAAACATTTTCCCGGGGGATCCCCCTCAATTAATCAAGCCGGCTCTCTTTGTGCGCGGCGATACGATACGCTACAATATTCATACTTCATCCGTCATTTTGAAAGTTTTCCCGGCTGGAAGCTTCCAGAGAGGACGAGCCAGTCATGTTGCCAATATCGCCGTGACAGCGCAACGCGGTCTCATTTAATTTTTACTTTCGGAAGGCGGAGCACGTGGATCCACCACGGAGAAAGACGGGAAGGCATTCGTGAAATCTTCATTGCGAAGTTTCTACTCTAAAAAATTAGCGAGAGGCTAATAAATTAAATTAAACGGGCGAAGCCAACGACCATCTATTCTATTATTACTAGATTTATCATTTTAACTGCACTTTCTAAAAGTCTCCCTCTACGTTTTCCACAATCAAAATTGAGCAAGTATAAAGCTTCAATTGGTTCTGTACATATTTCTATGTTAATGAAATTATTACTCTTAATTTTTGCAAATCAGAAATTAGAATACTATCAACCTTTAATTGTTCCGTAGTTATAGATTATGAATCAATATAGTTATTTTTACAGATAATTTTGTCAATTCTAACACTCTTCTTTTCGATATTATTTATAACTTTTTTGATCTTGTCTTATACTCTAATAAAAATATTTTAATAAAAAGTATGTTGGGAATAAAATTTTATGAGTGTAAACGACGACGAGGTCAAAATCCGAATGGTGAATACGAAATGATTTCCCTTCATGAAAATCAATGAATGACAAGGGTCAAGTATAGGCCATACAAATGTGCGTATATGTAGACAGTATGTTTCGTCAGCACTTTTGTTGCTTTTTAAATCGAACATACTTATCACGTAAGAATTTATTCCATCCATATTTCCAAGATTTAATATGTAATATGTAATTTAATATGCAACTAGACATCACAGATGTATATGTCGGAAATATATTTTTATGTGCTGTAAAGATTTATTACGCGATACGTTTAGCACAATAATACGAGCTCTATCGTTATTTCTACTTATTTAGAACACAATGGGTGCTTTTATCTCCATTATCAAAAAATATAAATAAATTCAAGAGTTTACTGTCAAAAATTTACTCTTAAGAATTTATTCATAAAATTTCAATTCATTAATATGTAAAATATAAAAGAGAGAGAGATAATTCATTATAACATACAAAATTATATGACTACGATATCTTAATAATTATAACATCCTCAAATGACTCATTTCAATATCAAAATTCCTATAGTTCAATATTCATAATTTTCCATCTCTCTTTCACAATTCTTTCAATTTTTATTTGTAAATGTGATAAAATATGTAGTAAACATAATTCTTTTTACAGATAAAAAGAAAACCAAGAATATACAAAGTAAAACTAAACACACACAATTTAATCTTTCGTAATGCGAACGATTAGCTTCGAATATTACCTCAAAGCGCATCAAATCATGTATTTCAAAAGTTGTTTAAAAGCAATTTCGAAAATTTGATTGGACTCTAAGTACATTGCTCCAATTGATATCAACATTCCGTTTAAATCAATCAACTTGCGTTCGTATTTCGTTTTTATCGAAAACTACGATAAATTTCACGTTTCACGATTAACGATCGTGTTCAATCGCAAATAAGCGACGGCGGCGTAACGTTCAATTTTGCTTTTAAAAGTATTTAAAATTAGACTTATAATTATTCCCCTTAATGCTAAAATTCTTCATTAAAAATTATCTGATCGCCAAATTGACGATAGAAAGTAATTCTCTGACAAATTTTTTTAATGAATCACTTGGGTGTCACATTTTCTTACGAAAATTGACGTAAATGCTAACAATAATAATAGAATACTAATAATAGATATAGTACTTGAGAATCTTTGAAAGACACAATCGACATATCCCTTTTTTCTACAAGAGAGATTTTATTTTCAGCCATTTATAATTACATTAAGCATCTCGAAAAATTTAATCTATCTATTTAAAGTTCGGAGTCTTTCAATATTTCTCTCTAACGCATCTCCTTCACTCTCTAACTTGCCTTTCCTAATCAACCAAACTCAACTCACTCTTGTGCTTCGAACTGCTCTTCCACAAACCCCTGAAGAACGACATTCTGGCCCAGCGCAGCACAAGCAATTCCAGCAGCTCCGAAATCTTCCCCCTCGTCACGATCTGCCTCGCCAGCTTTTTCCCGTTTTCGAGAGCTCGTCTCTCACTCACAAACCTCGATACCAGTTTCGCGCCACGTCCAGGACATGTGAATCCGAGATCGGGCGACTCGATCGTTCTACAAGTCACGGATAATCAGCCTTCATCGGTGCCGGCGGGTCTCCGGCTTTTCTTAGAAAGCTACGGAATGAAAATCGAGAGGAAAGTCGGTGGACAACAGCTGTTCGTACGACACAAGATCTCCCCGGATAGCACCCGCGAAAACGTGTTGCCGCGGTGGCAGCGCGCCGCGATATGAACCGTCCGGAACGGTTTATAGCGCCGCTTCGCCCTTGCGAGCGAACATGCGCATCCCAGACCGTCCTTGTCCCGTCGTTCTCTCTCCCTCTTTCTCCCATCGGCAGCCCGGATTCCGGTTCCGCTTCCGAACCGGATCCCACACCAAGAGTATGAAGATTATTTTTACGCGTTCCGCGTGGACCTGTGACGACGACATCAGCATTTCAGATCAATTTCGAACTTAAAAAACGGAAAGATCGTGGAATCCGAGAATTTCGCGTCAGGGGAGAAACTTTGGATCGATAAGGAGAAGAGCCAAGAAAGAGATTCAGAAACGCGCTAAAATCAAGATTTCGGAGGAATAAGAATAAAAATAGAAGAACCCTAAGAGCTCCGTAAACTTTTCGAGATAAAAATTTTTGATTGTGCGTGATAAAAATAAGAATGAAAAAAAATCCTCGATAGTTCAAAGTTCGCGTAGAGATAAAATTTTTTAATTGACGAGAGAAAAACAGAAAGAATAACATTTGTTTTTACTGAAAAAAATTATGAAGTTCGTATACATGTACACATCCCTCAGATTGTAAAAACAAAAAACAAATATTACATCATGTAAACGTAAATGGACAGAAATTGGAACAAAATTGACATATTAAAAATTTTAATACAATACTAACAATATTAAATTTCAGACAATATTAAATATAAAGGGCAAACTTAATATCGGATTAAACATCGTTGAAGTGACTGTCGTCGGGTGGGCTTGCGGAGCAATTTGGTATTCATCTCCGCCGACGACATAGTTGCCAAGAAATTGATGCGTTGCTCGGGCACGCTCCAGAAACACGGGACGAGGGTCTCGCCACCTAATTTCATGGGAGAGATGCCCGCCCTAAACTTACAGGAACCAAACTTCGTTCGATAATCTCACGGCAAGTAACGACCCCGCCCAGTCAATTTAACATGCTTGCCGTTTTTGCATTTCCGCAGATTAAAAAACGAGCGAAAAGCCATCGTTCTTTGAGAAAAGAACACATTTCGGCGCAAAAATAAAAAGTAATTGACATCATAATAACGCAGTTTGAATGGCTGCGTTCAGCAGAAAAAGCGGCTTTGCAACTGTTGTAAAATTCTTTAATATGATTGGTTTATACATTTAGATCCGTGAAGAACTAAAGGCAAGAACCAATCATGTTGAAGAATCTCACAACAGTTGCAAAGCTGTTTTCTCTGCTAAATGCAGCCAATGTTCTGAGATATTTTAAGATGAGATTGCAGCAATACGCGAGTACCGAGAAAATTTAAAATTGTAATAATAACAAAAAAATCAATATAATCATTTCTTCCAACTCATTAGTATAATAAAATACGAAGTTGCAGTCACAGACATCGGATTTTCTCGTCGATTTTCGCATCGAGTGCGATTAAGCTTGAATAATGCTGGAATTGTCGGAAAATCGAAATTAATCTGCAGGGAAACTGATTTCGTGAATTTCCCCGTAATCGAAAACCTTAAGTTAACCTAAAGTTATCGGGTATAGGCGTTCAACGAACGTCGAGTCCGAAATTCCCGGCGAAACCCGAAAATTTATCAGGTGTTCGCGCACCACTCCCCCTCCCCCCGGTAGAAAACACGAGCGCCAGAGAGCCATTCGATTATCCGGGGGTCGTTATGCGTTCGTTAGCGCGCGATTGACTTTAGACGACGGCGGCTCGAATCGATTTCACGTGCGCTCGACGAAATTGCCAATCAATCGAGGAGAATCGGGGAGAAAACAACTGTCCTCCGGCTTGGTAAATTACCCGTATCTATCGGCCGCATCGGATTACGAATTGAACTAACGCACTAGCGAAAATAGATCGCCACGAGATAATCGTACACTGGATAAAACTGCAATTTAAAAGCGAAGAAAAAAAGGAAAGAGCGAACAAAAGATTTATCTCTCGCTGCTGCGAGACCAGCGTGGCTGAGTGAGAAATAAAACAATGAAAATGTAGCAGACAGATATAAAGAAAATACTAAATGCATGTTAATTAATATTTTTAAAAAAGTGATATTTTTGGAGAAAGAATTAAATTTCAAAATAAAGCATTACGTCATACAAATATAAAAATCGTGTTATTAAATATAAGAAAAAAAATATCGTTTATTCTTTAATCAGTATAAGACGAAATTTCATTTAAGTAAAAATACGCAATTAAATAAAATGTATTTATTTACTTACAAAATTGTTATGTACATATTAAAAAAGGAAACCAAGTTTTTTGAACAACCTCTCGAAAAGTAATCTATTAAATCAACTGAAGTGGCCGATAAAAATTCGCGACGCGAAAGAAATTTCGGAGCGGGAATGTAGCTGCTGCGGCGACCCGCGTAAGATGATTGACGAGAGAAACTGGCACGATCGTTCTTCGGGAGACGAGCTCAGTCGAGTTGCGAGTTTTTTGTGCGTTCGGCTTAACGGACATGTCGCAAAACTCCGCTCGGCCTCGCTCCTATCCCTTTTCTCTTCCACATCGTGATTCGATCGGTCTCTCTTACGACATCGTCGTGACATAAATCGGCAATTGAAAACGATATCATTTTCGACGTGCTCAGATTTCGATGCTACACGAAATTGATCTCTGCAGTTGATTACGACAAATGAAAAGAAATATACGATATACCATAACTTTCCTCGATGCTTTTGCTGGCGGAATTAATTCGAATTCAAATTAATAAAAGATTTTCTACGTACAAATCCTTCACTATTTCCGTTTAGGATATATTCCGCATGATATAGAAGCGAAAATATCTCGCTGAAACGGTTAAAATGCAAAGGGGATGCGTGATTTATTCGCCTGACGTATTTTTTCAGGCCATACAGAAAATATCAAAATGCAGAAATCGCGACGGAGCCGATCTCTCGAAATCGAGCGACGGCGAATATTTTTCATTAAAACGAGACGCACAGTGTTTTCGGGATAACGGACGGTCTACAAAGACCCACCCCGCAAAAAGCCGACATCGAACGTCACAGCTGCTGTCTTCACACCTTCCACGTTTCTTCTTCGTCATTCCGTTCATCGATCCGCTAGGTACTCCATCCTTTCGCTCTTTTCCCGATGCAGCTGGGATCGACAGGAATTCTGTGTTTGACAATGCTCGTCGAGCATGTTTGGCGGACTCGAATGACGTTTCTCGTGACATGTCGTAAATTCGTATGGCGAGATAATTGAACGGTTGCTTAACCGAGCTTCATAGATGATTTTTAATAATTTTATTCTGTCTAAAGAAAGAAACACAGAGAGAATATAGAATTTTTTCATGAGAAAATATTTCGATATATTTTCTTGGCAACCTAAAAAAAAAATACTCTTAGTCCCTGTTAATTTTGGAGTAATTTTATCACTCTCCCTTTGACATAATAAATGACGTAATAAATTTAACTATATTAATTGAGAATTAATTAAACGTATAATCGTAAATGTACTTCGTATAATTTGTATTAAAAAAGAAACCGGCATTTCCGAAATTATACAAGATCGCTTAATTAAAGCTGCGAAAACAATATTAAATTAAACATGTATTTAATTATTTAAAAAATTTTAAATTATAAAACTTGCTTATATAGATTTAATATTATTTTGTAATTGCTGCAATTATTCTGTCAAAGTAAATTCTTTCTACCTATAAAAATTAAAAAATGTGTATTTATATTGTAATTTATATTGTCATTTATATTGTAAATTTTGTTAAATAATCTCTTAATTTAGAAAAAAAAGATTAAATAAAATTTATAATTTTCTCTTTTATTCCTTTACTTATTTTTATCTTTCTATCTTGCTTTTCTAATTAATTCATAACGTATGAGTAGAGCGTCAAATCGTATGTAAAAGTTCAAAAAGCGTATTTGTTCCGCGTTTCATTTTGTTGTGTAATTTAACGTTCATGCATTCGGGGATATCCGTTGATAATTACTCATTGCAGTATCTTTCCCTTCAGCCATTATTCCACTAGCTTTGCTACACGACACACCTGACATCGTCAACATCGAGTCAATCCCAAGTTTAGCACGCTCGTCAAGTACACGCGTGATACACGCGTGCGTACAATGTGCGTCGCGCGCGGTTCGATACGGTCGTCGTGTACGGTCATCGGCCGTACGCAGTACGAATTCCATTAATAATCTGTGCGATTATGCGGTATTATGCGTGACTCGGGCTTGCTCCGTAATTTCTCTTCTCGCAAGATACGAACAAAGCATTGTTGCACAATTCCATGCGCAGCAATTAGGAAATGCATTCATACAGCGCAAATGGGATATATGCGATCTCGTAAAATGTTCGCTAAACTTTTAGGTACAAATATATATATATATATATATATATATATATATATATAATTTTGATCCATTATGCTTCTAAATTAGTTGCAGACAGAAGATATTTTGTGCGTGTCAGAACTTTAATATTGAACATAATAAGTGTATTGTTATAGCAATTTTATATAGATATATATATATTATTTAAGAGAAAATTGCTATAACAATGCACTTGTTATGTTCAATATTAAAATTCTGACACGCACAAAATATCTTCTGTCTGCAACTAATTTAGAAGCATAATGGATCAAAATCATATTAAATTTATAAAATTTATCTGAAATGTAGAAGAATGTCTAAAGTGAAAATGAAGTAGTATTCAAAATGTTAGCATCAAAATAAAATCTCGTGAATTATGAGCTCAACCTCCTCTGATCTCAAATGCTTCATTTATCATTTCATCTTCTACTCACAAAATAGCATTGGCTGTTCCAGTTCCAAGATATTGATCTATTACATATGATGTGTACGCTCGATAACGGATCTGCGATATTATCATGCAATATAGCAATAATATACACAACATGCAGAATTATTCAAAACCAGCCACCATTAAACAGATATTTCAATTATTTTGATTATTATAATTAATATCTTATTATTTCTGCCAACGTGTTCGCAGAAAGATTATAATATGCTGTTGATGA